CAATATTTTTGAAAGGTTTATCAGCAGCGCATTCAGCTAATTGCTCTAAGTGACTAATAGTTACAGCCTCACACCATTTAGTGCTGGCAGTGCTCAGAGTCATTGCAAGGGAAGGCAGCATAAGGTCCACAAGACAAGACCATCATTTTGGAGTGGTGTGAGGGCCAAAAAGTTTTGGGTTTGTTTCTAACAATTATATGAGCAGAGTAGGTAGGAGGAAGGCCGAATTTAGACAGGAATATTGATAACTGAGTGAGGCCATCTCTGCACTGGCCAGCAAGGACAGGTGGAGRAGGAGGAGGGTGGTCCTACAGCTTCTGAAATGTACCTGTAACTCACCTCTCTCCCCCTCCTTCCATCCTGTATCAGCTCTCTGATAGTTTAAAAAACCCCAGTTATGCAGAAAGATTTACCCTGCAGTCCCTAGTTTGTGTGGCTGTGTCTGTTTTATCACAGAACCACAATAAAACAGAAATGGGATGTTCAGAGCCATGATCTGATGCTCAGGCGGTGGAGCACTGACTACCAGAGGGGTGAGAGACCCTCTGGAGCCTGAGTGAGTTTTGTGGGTTGGAGAGAGAAGGGTCCCACAGCCTTTACGTGATGTGCAGTGCTCAGCACTGGTGRGCAGCTCTGCCTTACACTGAATTACCATCTGCTGCTCAGGGTCCAGCACCTGGCAAGACCCACATTCCCCATCATTTCATGCATGTACAGCCCCATTCAACAAATTCATTTCACCTGAGGGGTGCACTTCAGGTTTTGAGTGTGATAGACCCAAATGCTATCCTGTTGTTGCTCTTGTCTATGCTGTTACTTATTTTACTCACAATAGTTTTATCAGTGTTAGAGAAAAGCAGAGTATCTTCTAAAGGAAGTAATTTTTGATCAAAATTTTGGAAAGAAGCAGGTCAGATCTGTTTTGTGTTTGATTGCAAATGCCCCTTAGCAGAAATATCAAAGTTTGGTCTTAGCATTTCTGTCACAAACATACTTCAAAAATCACCGGCAAGGTAGAAATCTTCTCATATTTCATTTTGTTTAAACCATCTTGACATGATCATTTGTTGCCATTATAAATAGTGCAAATTGTGCTGCTGGGTAAAACACAAACACAGGAACATATCCCTATCCTCAGCTAGTTGTTAGCTGGAATAGGACATCCATTTTGCAGCACTGCCTTTGAGTGGGAAAACATTTCAGGATAAGACCAGGGCTGTGATGAGTCTGGAGAAGTGTCTCCTCATGGGAGAAAGTGAAGGCAGCTGGCCATTTKCASTGCAGTGCAAACACTGCTTGGGTCWGTTTTCCTACGGCATCCACTGACACTCTTGAAAAGTGAATCCTAAACCTTTCTAGTGCACAACCTAACTAGGCACAGAATGGGAGGGTTGTGTTTTGGCTGCCTCTTGCATTGCCTTTTATTTGCTTCCTTCTTCTTTGTCCTTGGTCTGTCCAAAATCCTGCTGCTGAAGCACTCTCCTGTTCCTGCTCTCACTGGATTTTTGTCTTCCCRTTCCTGATTCTTGCCTTTATTTTCTGTCTGTTTTTCCTCCTGTGCAATTTCTCCATAGTCTGTGTTTCTAATGCCTTTTCTCTTGCTCTTTGGTCACTTGCCTTGAGCCACTTCTGGCCTGTGATTTCTGTGCTTGCCTCTGCTGCCTTTCCTGTTGGTGTAGTTTTAGGATTTAACCTCTCTAGGCCAAGCTTTGTGTCTTGGTGTCCAGGCTTGCAAGGCTTGCACCTTGCTCCGGGTGTGTTTTAGGCTGAGCCAGTTAGGTACTCATAATGTGCATCCAGAGGTGAGGAAAGCCTCACAAAATCAGGCTTATCATGGAGAACTGGATGGCCATCTGAGAACTCCCACCATGCAGAGCTTTCCAAATGGGCATAGGAAGAAAGAAGGAAGCTTTAGATGGGGTCTGTGTTATGTTCCTCAGGCCCCATGTACAGAGCAGGTTCTTACCTTGATGTCAGAACTGTCCTTGCCCAATAATATTATCAGTAGATCAAGAGCATTTTCCTGCCWGTTGACAAATAATCCCCATTTCTGGACCATTTACACTCCAGTGAGTGCCACTGAGAATTTGCTCCAACCAGTGGCTGAGCAAGCCCTCAGGACTTCCTTTGTTTGACCCCACTGACCAGAGGGGCTACTAGTGACATTCTAGTTTTATATCACTACTGCTTCCTGACCTAAGGGAAAAACAGTTTAAAGAAATTCTTCAGATTTTTTTACTTCTCTTCAGTGCTTTGAAACCGAGAGACCTCTATTTTTCATAATTTAAACTCCTGCCTAACTGGGTGAGTGTTTGAATTCCTAGACTATGACAAAATGCTAGCGTGTGTCTGCCTGAAATGTCGAGAGGATCTTTAATAACCTCCATCCACCAGATTCGGCGTTAAAAGCATTGCTGAGACGATGAGTGGAAACACTACAAACAAGGACCCCGGCGGTGGGAGGGAGGTGGCCCCGTCCCCTCTCGCTCRCCGCGGGGGCTGGAGGAAGCAGCGGGGTGTGCCCCGTGCTGCCCGGGTGCCATCCCCTCCTGCCGCTGAGCCGGGGCTGGCAGGAAGCTCTCAGGTGCCTGCCTTTTGTTTATTTTGGCTACGAGATGTTGTTCTTCTGCAGTAGCCTGCAGACCAAAATTTAATGCGCAGATGACCCCGCCAAGCAGCCCGTGTGCCCGGAGACTGCTCGGAATGAGGGATTGCACAACAGAGCTGCGCCGAGAGCACAGCTATTTCTTGGCTTGATTTTATTTTGTATGAAGCGCAGCGGCCGAGGGTGAGCCCTCTCCTTTCTCTGGAGAGGTTCTCAGAGGACTCTCAGAGGGAGAAGTTCCTGCTGCAGTGCTGTGATAAGAGCCTGTCACTGCCCTCAGCTCTCCCATGAAGTGTCCGGCACAGATCAAGATGAGATTGCAGGAGATCTGCTGTAGGCATCAGGTTTTCTCTCTTGCCATAGAGATTTTTGACCAAAWGAAGAGGAGCCATTTGAAAAGTGCAGTGACACTATTTTTTTCCTTTAATTCCTCTCTTGGAAACTCCTGTGCCAAGTTTTATCCCATCATGGCACAGTTAGAAACCCCTCGCCTTGCRAAGAGCAGAACAACCTTGACCATGAGGTTATGAATGGGGATTTATGACCAAGTCTCCTTTTAMACACACTTAGCCCCACTTACTGCTACAAACAGATGACTGTGATAGGGTGGGCAGGTTGTTTAAAGTTTTGCTGGAATGTGAGCACAGTTCTCCTCTTGGCACCAGGAATCTGGCTTGTCTAAAGCAAAAACTTAGCTCTGCAAAAACCGTCTTTTGTAAAAACCCATCCAGGTCCCGTTGGAAGCAGCAACCTTTTTGTTAGGCATGCAGGGTAACAACACCCATTTTTTCATTAGTATTCTCAGTATCTTTCTGCCATAATTTTTTTCGAAGACCAGCTGGAAAAAAGTCCTGCTCACACATTGAAAAAAAATTCCTTGTTTCAAAAAAAAAAAAAAAAAAAAAAAAAAAAAAAAAGGAAATTTAGTGTGTGTCCAGTGCTTTGAAATGCATTGGGAAGCCCATCAGGCTATGGATGCATACCAGTGATCCCAAGACTCCAGCTGTGGCCTGGTGTGGGTCTTGGCCATAAAAAGCAGGAGGCACTGAGAGCAGGAGCTTCACCCCAACTCTTGGGCAGGAAGTGACTGATGAGAAAGGATGAAAATGTCAGTCCTGTGGCATCASGTGCCCAGRCATRTGTGTTTGGGGGTGATTCYTGCTGCTTTCAGCYTTTTCCACCCCACTCCCTCAGGCTTATGCTGGAGGGAYGCTGGCAGTTCCCACAGCAGGTCCTGGTCCATGCTTGGRGTGCCCCTGCCCAGGTTCCCAGCCMRGCTTCYCAGGGTRACCCACCGAGGGCTCTGCCACCTTCTCAAGTCAAACCAAGGTGCCTTTGGACCCCAGGCTGTCTGCAGAGCCCTGTGGAGGTGCCTGGTGTGGTTTAACCAGCGCTCTCTGTGCTCTCTGCRTGTGCCACACCACCCCTAGGTGACRTRAAGCCACAGCCCATCTGTGCCCCTCATCTCCTGCTCCAAAAGGAGGAAAACGTGTCCCAGAACCGCTGCCTTACTTTCCTTTCCTGCACCACCCGAGCCGGAGTGGGGCTGGTTAATAAACATGATTCACTGTTGTCTTTAGCTGTCAGGGCTGGAGTGAAGCTCCTGGTGCCAGCAGGTCTAGCTCTTCCCACTCRAGGGCTAATGCATTTTGCTTTGGGAAATGGTGACACCCAGCACCGCGCGTTTGCTTTACCTCACCAATAGCCCATATACAATTTCCAAACTGCTCAGCAATAAAACTCTTCTGTCTCATGCCTCGGTGCCAGCTGTTTAATTAGGAATGAGCAGAGGCTGGGTTTTATTTGTACGACTAACAGAGGGTATTTTTTTTCCTCTCCCCTTCCAGCTTGCGAAAGATAAAGAGCGCCTGCAAGCCATGATGACACACCTGCATGTGAAATCAACTGAACCAAAAGCCACCCCTCAGCCCGTAAGTACCSAAATGTGCTGAAAGCAAACACCAAACCTCACAACAAACCTCTTTCCTGTTCCCCTCCAGAGCCCACACTGGTGAAGCCTGGCTCGCTTCAGAGCCAGGCATGGGGTGGAGATGGGAAGCGCAGCCGGGTTTTGTCATCCTCCTCTTTCCAGGGAGTTTCTAAGTCAAGTTTTGTTCCAAAGCTGATGCATTGGGCCTTTTTCTGGCCTCATGTGAGTCTCTTTGCATCAGTCTGACTTGGMTGAAATCTTAGGAAGTGTTAGGAAGGAGTTGTAATTAAATTATATTTAGTATATTTATTTTGCTTTCTCCTGGTCTGACAGACATTTACTGTAGAAGTGACTCTAACTGCACGTTCTGATGATAATCACGGWTACCCAGTATCAGGTTTTATACTGCTGAAACTGAGAAGGGAAACCTTCTCTGCCCTAAGTTGCTCTTTGAAAAAGGGGGAGCTGGGGCAGCAAGTGGCTTTGCAGCCCAAGAAAACTCCTGGTTATCCCCAAACCCAGGAAAATCCCYCATCTCCTTCCCTGACTGAAATGACCCTTCTTCAGCTGTTGTTTTCTCTCAGCCTCTTAATGCTGAAAATGTTCCTTGGAGCTTCCAATGATTATTCAAAATGGAGMGAGTGCTTTGCTTCTTGATTTTAAGATTTGTAAGATTTAAAGGTACACTGGCTTTATTTGATTTTGCTTTGAGTCATTGTGTGAAAATTAATTGAGCGTTGACAATCTATAGTTAGTACCAGCAATTTTAATCAATATGCAATGATGCAGCATAATGACAAAGTATTGGTTTATCTGTTTTGACTGATTTTTTTTTCTATAAATAAAGCAAACACACACCCATATATGTGTGATTTATGGTGATAGAAATAAAAAGGAGTCAGACTATTAACCCAGCAAATATGGTAGCCTGCCAAGATGCAGTTGGTAGACAAAATTAATGTCTGAAACAGAACACATTACAGAGATAGAGAACATAAAATCATTAAACACTTCGCGCACACATTTTTACTAAGAAAAGGATTTCTCAGTTTCCRTGTAGTTGGAAATAAATGGCTGCAGAAGTGCATAGGGAGGCTACTAGATAGAAAATTGCAGGCTATTCAGTAACACTGGAGCAGATGTCAAAGTCAACGGGAAATTTCCGTGCCTTTTTGGAGAGAGTTGAGTGGTAGGTGTAAACCCTTCCATTTAAGCTGTTGAGATGCCTAAAATTGCTTGGTCTGGTGGACAYGAGCCCTCTGGAGTAGAAACTACTGGCAGTGTCTATAAAAATAGCATTCTTCTAGTTCCTCCCATCCATCCCAGCCCAAATGCAAATGCTCCAGCTYATTGTTGGCAAAGTGTGTAGACCCAACAGAATGGGGAGGAGGTTTGGTTTCTATAGCTCTTACYGGATTAAAAATTAAAACAGCGGAATAATCTGGGAGTCTCAAAGCACTCTGCCTTGAGGCCTTTCATAACAGCAGTGCCCCTCAGGAGGAAGGATTACAAACTGAAGGGAGGAAATCATCAGAAGGCGAGCGGTGTTTGGCAAGGCGGCTCGTGATCGATGCCGGGCCGCCGAGGGCAGGGAGCTTTGGTGGGTCGTGTAGGCTACGCAGATACCAGGCGGTGTCGCCATGAAGATTAGTGTTAACAGCTAATAAACAGGGAAAAGCAGCAGAAGAAAAAAAAAAAAAAAACCCTAGTGAACGCAGGGGGAAAAGGGCTGTCTTGATTAGTATTAAAAATGTTTTACATTCTGGAAAATTATAGCTTTGTTGGGGACCTCCTACTAAATTTATTTTTAACTGCTCTATTGAAAATTCTGTACCACTAGTCAACATTATCTCTCAGTTGCTCAGCACAGTGTTTCTTTATTAAAAGAAATAGGCATGAATATTTTTGACTGAAAAATTAATAGCTTTTGAATTCATACACAGCAGGTTTTCTTTTGCAAAGAAGTCCAATATCGCTGCACAGCACTTCTATAACCATTTATTTAGAGTCCAAGTCAAACCTTTGACAGCTAGAGCAGTGTTACAAGCCAACATAAAGAACTCCAAGATGTAAACCAACAATAGGCAGTCTGTGTGAGGTTTGCCATTGTCAAATACATAGATTGTTTGGATTAGTTTATGTAAATGTACTGTTGTATTACCCTTTGGAAAAAAAAAGATCACATTTGTGTATGAAAAGTGGTTTCGTTCACAGGCAGCATTATAAATTCCTTATCCTTTAACTTACATGTTAGAAGTAAAAATTGGTGCCTGACAGGCCTATATTGTGTGGCACTCTGTTGTTGGATTGAAACTGCCTTCTTTTCATTTATTGAAATATAGAAAAATTTATTATAGATACCATCTGATAAATCAGAAATTATTAAAATATGTATAGGTGAAGCATTTGAAAATTAATTATAAAATGTAGAAGTATAGTGTTTTGCATAAATTGTGCTTTCCTAGTGAAAAAAATACACAGGCATTGCATAGACTCTGCTAGACCCTCRTCCTTTTAACTCAGTGGGATAGGACTTTGGTAAAAAGATCTGATGACCATTATTGCACTGCAAAGTAGTCTTTACATCCAGTAATTAATTTTTTTTCTGCCAACATAACTAATGCAAGGTGTGTGTTAGAACTAATATATTATGGTACTTCGGAGATTTTAAAGGGAAAAGCGGCTGYGAATCCAAACATAGCAGTGAGTTGGGATTTAAAATTACAGCCTTTTCATGAAATGTTTTTATTCTGCTTAAAGGGTCTTAAATGCTTGTTTTAAACTACTTTGTGACTGGCAGGTAATACRGTGGATGAGCATAGTATGTAATACGGTGTGTGAGCCATGTGTAATCCACTCTGACCAGTTCTGCCCTCTCTGCCTCCTGGGTTTCAGACAGAATTTGAGTTGGTGGTGTTGGGCCAGTTTGGGCCAGTTGGACCATAGCCAAGTTTTTGATGGCTGT